TCATGGTCACAAAATTCAAACAGGAGGTAGAACTCGTAACGATAGCCATTAATCCCGGAGTCTATAGAATTTTGGTAAGAAAAATCTAATAGATACTTTTTCGGTGACATATTCCTCGCAAGGAAACTATATTTTTATGGCTTAATGACCGGAGAATGCGAACTTCTCGAAGAGCAGTGATTGGGAACTAGAAATTCAGATAAAAGCGCTGTTTACCCCTTCGGTTTCTTTTTCTATTTTAAGGCGTTTTAAAGCAAAAACGTCTTTGGATGTTTTATGTCGGACTTTGAAGACTTCGCCAAATGTCCCTTGGCCAACCTTTTGAATTATCTCATAGTCATCAACAGATAATGTTGACGTTTTCGTCTCCAGTTCACGGTCTATATCCTTAAGTGCTTCCGTATGATCCGCCTCTAATTCCTTAGCTATAAGTTCCAGTTCGCAGGCGTCCATCAGTCACTCTTAATCATGTGCGGTTTTTAGAGTCGAATAAACAGACAGGGCAAGTTATCTTTTGCGGCAGAAGAACGGCTCACTAAAATGCATTGGGTATGTGAAATTTGATAGCTTTGGCATAAGGTTGGACGCGAACGCGAGTAAGTGGACCTCCAAAAGTTGTCCTTTAGCCAACGAATGGTACGACTATTACGAGTGACAGTGACGTTCGACATTCCTCAAAATCCTATTTTAGGCCACCTATTTTTCCTACCTCAAATTATGGCCTTCATTTCCATGGATGCCACCCGAATATAAATTGCCACTAGTTTATTTTATAATAACATCTCTACAAATTGCAGTTCAGTGCAGTTATGTTTTCCGCTTTTTGTTTGTTGTCTGTAGTTTTCTTCTCCGCCACCTATGTTCCCTTTATATAAATACGAAGGAGCGTAAATTGCATTTCAGGAATACACTCAGTATAGTTTCACTCAATATAGTTTCACTCGCTGTGACATCGGTCGTAACTAAGAGGACAGAACTTATAACTGCACTTTTTGAACTTGATCCATGTGTGGTGTGCATTACTGGGTCTAGATTCACAAGCTTGCGCCCACTCTCTTAATTCTGAGCATTTTGTGAGCCACTCGCAGAAAAAAATTTGACTGACGAGCTTCCGCTCAGTTAAGGAGTTGTTATTGCATGTGTGCCTGTGTTCGCTGTTGAGACATGCTCCAGTGCCTGGGTCCTCAATCGCCTGCAGCCAATTAGTGAACTGAAGCAGCTTGCTTAGCTACGTTTAACAAGATGAGTATTTCAGGTGAACGGCTCGGTACTGGGATGGGTTAAACTCGTTAACCGAGTTTCCATTGTAAACTCGTAATTCGTGGGAGATAGTGGCTAGTTTTAACGCGAAACAGGAAATAGAAGCAGGCTTCGAGCATTCTAACGCACAGAAATGAAATGTTCGTTAGTAAGCATCTCTCGTCTAAGAAATACGGGATACAGAAAGAGAAAATTGTGTTCGAGTAAGGACTCACTGAACACTTTCAACCTTACTGCGGTCAGAGATATTCATCAGCCATAAAGGCAACAGTAGTATTCTAGGAGGAGAAGAACAATTATGCGGTGCAAATGTAACTTTTTTCCTGCAAGGAAGATATGATGTGGCCAAAAAATTGTCCGTCAGCCAAGGGAAAACCATAAATCAAGAATTATCCGACAGGCTGTAAAAATCCAAAAGTTTGTTCTGTCATATTAGTAATCGACTTTAGGACAAGGACACAGTCGCATTGCTTAATGATGAGAATGGCGTAAAAGTCCTTGAAAATGACCCAAAAGCCTAATACTGTGGCTGGTTCTTTGTCCGTCTGTTAACCAGGAAAACCAATTTTCAGTTAAAAGACTCCACATTGCTGTGGTAAACGATGATCTAGCACTTTAGTCTCTATTCTCACCGTCATCTATCGTGAAAAACGAGCAGCAAAACATCAAAGAAGCAAAGTCGTGTGGTCTGGACAATAGACCATCAAAGTTTTTGAAGGAATTAACGAGCGAGCTCTCTAAACTAGTAGTGTATACCGTTATTTGAATTAGCGGACTGTAATCTGAATGGAAGATGGCAAGTATATATCCGATATAGAAGGGTGGGGCTCAAACGAAGATCAACAATTATCGGCCCGCCCGCCTAAACTGCATTTGCAGTAAATAAAGGAAATTATATCAACGACTGCGTCGACGACCTGGGTTGCAGCGTCATCAATTTGCTGAGAGCCATTAGGTCTGACGCCGATAGGAAAGCACTTCAAGAGTCTCAATCGACTTAGCAGCTGGTCTGCTCGTTAGCTCTCAAATTTCAACGTTAGTAAGTGTGTGGTTTTAAGACTCCGTACTAGAAGGACCAATGAGGAGGGTGATTCCTTCCAACACTTCCTCAATGGGCTATCCATTTCAAATGTTGACAAACAGAAAGACCTCGGTGTTCTAAGAAACTCCTCGCTTAAACCATCTTCACAGTTTCTAAAGGCAACTAAATGCGCGACACGGGTGCTGTCTGCGATTAGACTCTTCAGAAAAACGTACTGAGCGTTGTTCGGCCCCACTTGGAATATGCCGTCCAGGCCTGGCGTCCGTGGTTTAAGAAGGATTATCTGCACCTGGGACGAGTGCAGGCTACGAAGATGATCAAGAATC